GAAAAAAGAAGTAGAAAGAACGGATTTAAATGCGGAAAATTACTTCCAAAGTCCAATTTTATGTGATAAATGTATATTCTTAGAGTGGATGTTTGGACATGAAAACAAAAATAAACACATGTCAACAATTTTTTTTTTTTTTAATCAAAATGCACTTCAAAAACTTCCAAATTAATTCTTTCAATTAGGTATAAGCGTGATTGAAATTATAACGACATCAAACTTCCAAATTCCAATTATCCACCGCCTAATGGCATATTAATAGTTGGTATGATGTGACATTGATTAGGAAATTAATTTATGTCCTTTCAAATTTTTAGCGACTTATTTCTATTTTAATATAATTATAATTTGTAGACATGACTCTTAAAGCATTTGATTGCCCTTTTTTTTTTTCTTTTTTCTTTATTTTAATTTCCCACAGATTAAAGTATATTTTGGAGCTTCATCTATCATTTATATTTCTCAGTGCACTTAGAAAAGGTTAATGCCGTATGAATGCAAATATAATCAGGTAAGTCTTAAAACAATTTCTTTTGTACATTTTCTTTTAGAATTGGGATGTGATAATAGAACCCTCATTTTTTATGGATATTGTAGATGCTTTTTATAAATTAGAGAAAATTATTAAACTTGTCCTTAGAATATATAAGTCTGAATTTTTACTACTTATTATTAATTAATATATTTTTTTTACTAATATAGTTATTTTACTAAATAGGATATTAATTAAGAGTCTAACGTAAAAATTTAAACCTACATATTCGAAGAGGTTTGATTTGTCTTTAAATTCCCTTTTATTTATGTTCAATGATACTTTGTGCATTATTGTCCTGATAAGGACAACACTCTACCTCAATCAACGATAGATGACCAAACACTTTATTATTTTTTTATTACATAAAGGTTTATGCATCTGAAAATAGCATGCAACCTAAGACGCAACAGTACTTATAAAAAAAATAAATAAAAGAAAGAAAGAAAGAAAAAAAAAGAATAAAAGAGAGGCAGTAGGGATGCACAAAAATATCCGCAATTCGCCTATCTGCCCGCACCGCACCGCTCCACCCCGCTATTGGAGGGGTGTACATTAAAACCGCCCTTCCGGCGAACAAGACAGTTTCAATTGGCTCTTTTTAATTGGCGGTTACGGATTAAAGTTGGTGACTACGGTTTGAAACTGCTCCGTCCGCCTAAAATTTATTAGTAATATTTTTAAAATTTTTATTTTTATGAAATAAAAATAGCTTGAAATTTAAAGTTTAAAGACTTTTAAACGTTGGAATTTAGATTATAATTTGGATTGTATCTTTTATTTTTGAATTATGATATAATTTTGAACTTTAATTTGGCATTGATGTAATTAATTTAAATCATGTTCGTCAATAATTATTCATAGTCAGTTATGGATTAAAATTTCACAAACCGCCATATAACAAAATCACTTCAACCGCTCAATTCGTCCACCATGCACCCCTAATAGGGAGGGTATGAGGCGCGAGATGTGCCCCTTTTTACTATAAAAAAAAAAAAAAAAAAAAAAAAAAAAAGCGACATGTGCCCACTTACAAGTAGAAAAAATAGCACAAAAAGACTGCAAAGAGAAAACACCCCGTGTTAAATGTTACTTATTATTCGACAAAGAAAAGAACTTCTTTATTATGATATTTGTTAATAAAATTTCACAGCAATCTAATTCCCATCATATTTAATAGGTCTTTTATTATTTTTGGCTAAAGGAAATCTAATAGGTTGTGATTGCGTCGCCGGAAAAATGGTAAAATGCGTTAATTTTTTATTTTTATTTTTTAATAAGTAAAATGCGTTTTCTTAATCCTTATCTACAAGCATGGCTGGATTTAATTTGTACATATATTTTTACTTTTGCTCTTTTGGGTTGTCAATGATGGAGGCCTCGGCAGAAGGGCACTCATGAATAATTTTGAAAAGAAAAATTGTCTTTAATAGAAAGATGGACTCAACATTAAAAAAGGGCAAAAAAAAAAAAAAAAAAAAAAAAAAAAAAAAAAAAGAAAGATGGCTCCCCACTAGTATGTTTCCTTCAATGATATGAAGACAAATTTGGACAGATTAAATTTTATTTTTTTATTTTTATCTTTTTTTTTAATTCATAACGCACGGAACCAACAGCATTCACCAAAGCCCCACTCCACCACAGGCTCCTGATGCCGCTAGACCAAATTGACATACAAGAAAAATTAAAAGGCAAAATGCAAATGATACAACATGTCGTTTTCTTGGAGCCAAAAATTAACTCGTTTTTTTACGCCTTTAATGGAAAAAATCATAAATTATTTACTTCTTAATCGTTTCATTAGTCTTAAACTAATTTCTTTTTCTCAATCCCCCTTCCTGTCCTAATATAGATATTAAAAAAATGTACACATATTCTTTATTTCTAAAGTGTATTTAGCAGTAAATATAGTCGTAATGTTATTATTTATAATTTTATTGTAATTTGGCTCGTTTGTGTATGCATTGGATTTGGATAGAATTTAGGATGAATTTAATTTAGTTTTAAAAGATAACGATACACACATATTTATTACATCACTTACATTTGCAAAATGCAATGATAAACGAACTTATTATTTTAAGATTGTCCACTTTTTCAATACTGATGAGAAAGCAACATGTTGTATCCCAAGTCTGCAAATGTAGCGTCGTTTGAATGTTACAGAGGAATGTTTCCTTTCTTACCAAAAATGCACATGGTGACTTTAACCTTTTATCAAGAAAAAAAATATTGATAAAAAACAATAAGAAGAATTTATTATGTCCTAGAAAAAATAAACAACGATAATGTGAAAAAAGATCAAACAACTTTTTAACAATAATACAATGTTATATCAAGGGCAAGTTATAATCATGTCATAGATTTTAGTGGTTAATACATACAAAAGAAACATGTTAAATGAAAAGTTGTTTTCTGTTTTCTCTCGAAAAAGCAATCGAGATGTCGTGCATATTTAACAAAAACAATTTGTCATTTATTTTTATGCAGAAAAAATAGTTGTTTTCGAGTCTATTTAAAACGACTTGTCGTTTTGTTCAAAATGGTTGTTTTCGAGTCTATTTAAAACGACTTGTCGTTTTGTTCAAAAGAAAAAGACCTTAGTTTTTGAGGATATAGTAACAACTAAAAAACGGCATGTTATTTTCTCTTTATTTTTTTAGGATATCAGAGTAAAAGAGACAATCTATTAGTTGAAAGAAACAACAAATAAGGATAAAAGTATAAGGAACACTCCACAAATATGATTCCAGAAAAGAAAAAGCAAATGATAGTAGAGCTCTTACTAAAATAAGAATGTTAATTAAACTGGATAAATGATCACAGGGATAATGATCATGATAATAACAAAAATACTCGTCAAATTAATTCAAATCTCCACCCCAAATATTTCTAAATAAAAGATTTACAGTACTTTTAATAGAAACAATAGCTGTAAATACACTAAAATATGAATTCACACGATGTTATTGTATGAATTATGATTCATATGTGTTTTTCTCCATCATAAACGGATCATAATAAATAGATGTTTCCCAGGAGGGCCAAGACCAGGCGTACAGTCCATTATAACATAATTGAAGTTCTGGTCCGTATAAAAACTAGCCAAAAAAAAGAAAAAGCTGAAAATCTGAACAAGATGCAGAATGGACGAAAACCAGATTGTCTAGTATGTGTGTTTATGTATTGGAAATGTGCTTGATCGACAAAAAACTGAAGGTTATTCAGAATGCGTATTCCCACTTCAGCAGAAACACGGCGGTCGATGCAATTCTAGAATCTAGGATGGCAAAAAAACGACATGTCAAAATATCTTATGAACAATTTTATATGGTCGTATCAAGTAGAACAAACTCTTCAGCAAAAAATAAAAAAAACGAGGAATCTTACTTCTAGATAGTCAGATTTTGAACGATAAGTCTACGTTTTACAACAACAACAACAAAAAGCGTAAGCTGAGGATAAAAAAGTGAATGTCTACAGGTTGTGATATTTACACGTAAATTTTTAAAATAACCCGTAATGATATTTATATTTATATCCTTTGTTAACTATCTTTTTGTACCTACACAAAAAGGATATATTTAAAATAGTAGTATTTTAACAGTGCATTCTAAACATGGAGTGTAAAAATGATCATTTTGTATAAATGCTTACGAAAAAAAAATAAAAAAAAAGGTTAGTATTCTAAAACGGGTATCTATGGAGACACTCTTCTCGGTCTCTTCTCTTGGCGTTAGGCAAAGAGGCCCTATATTGGGATCCGGTGGCCCAACATTGTAGACAGCCCGTTAGTTGGAAGGTCTACTGGGCCCATATTGCAAAGTGGGCACAATTAGAGGGTGGGACTTTGAAAAGGAGAAAGAAGAAAATAGAGCGGAGACTTAAAACATAAATTAAAATTAATAGACTAATAATTTATATAAGTTAATAAATAAGTTAAATTATTATTTTCGTTTATAATTTATCTGATTATGAACTATAACTTGACACGTTATTATACATAATTATTCATAACTTGTCTAGTTATGAATCATAACTTATCTAATTATGAACCATAACTTGACAAGTTATGACCTATTAATTTTTATAACTAAAAATTGACCTATATATTTTTTTAAACTTTTCATATTGACTTATTTTCTACTATTTTTCGAAGAAAAACCGGAGAATTTAACTTGGGTGTGATCTTTACCTTGTTATCTTTTTGTAAGTGTAATTATTTAATTAAAAAAATTAAAAATTAAAAATAAAAATAAAAATCGTAACTCATTTTGTCAAGATTACTCACTTGAAAATAGTATACTGGGTACTGCGATGTCATCAGACTGCCAAAGAACAGAAGATGAACGCGTGGTGCGCACTCCACGTGGTGCAGAAGAAAGCACCATTGATCTCCCCCCTTCCGTTCCTTTTTTATTTTTATTTATTCTCTTTTTCCATTTTAAGGAGAACAAAAGAAAAAAGAAAAGAAAAAAAAAAAACGGAAATGTTAAGTTAGAAGAACGCAGAACTATTGGACGTCAGCACAATTCCCCAGGCCCCCTCCCCCCCCTCCCTTTTATTTTTTCCCCCAATTTCATTCTATTTTCTTTCTTTTTTCTTCCCCACTTTACGCACAGAACAGACCTTCCCTCCCCTAACTCCGTCGTAACGAACGCCGCCCCTTTCTGCCGCGAAACCGAAGCCTAACAAACCAACCCAACGCCGTCGTTTCAAGTACCCCCTTTCCCCTTTCTCTTTTTTTTTTTTTGGAAAGAAGATTTGACACCGTTTTAGTTTATATACCTTTTTGTTCTGTTTATATCTTTTCGCTCCTCTGATGAGGATTTTCCGGAAGACGAAGATGAGCTTTCTCTGACTTTCTAAAACCCTAACTGAGAAACGGTGAGACTCCGCCACTTTCCCCTTTTGTCATTCTTTCCATTTTTGCGTTTCTCTCTCTCTCTCTGGCAAACTGTACGATAGTTTTGCAACCCTAGTTTTACTTTTCTAGATTCCCTTTTGTAATGGTTTTCCTTTTTTTTTTTTCCTATCGAAATTTTCAGGCATTTCTTTGAGGTAATCAAACTCAACGATGTTTCAGTGCAAATCGATGAATCTCTGTTATAGATAATGAATATATATATATATATATATATATATATATTTGTAAGCTTATCAAACTAGAGAAATAATTATTCGAGGATTTCAAGCTCGGCTTGAAAATTTTTCTTCCGGAATTTTTGAAAATGATTTCCTTGCGCTGTGATTTGTATATGTTTTGTAATTTGTAGGTTAGGTGTTATAGACTTTATTTTAGAACATTTTCATGTAGTTGAATGCGATTATAATATATCTTGTTTTTGGAGAATGAAGGTTATGATTTTCTCTCTTACCAAATAAGCATGCTTAAAGCTACCATTTATTATGTTGCCGGTGCAAGAGTTGGTACTTTTTTGGGGTCTTACTTTACAATTTACTATAATTCCATTGCGCGAGAGTGCACACAGTGGTGCAGTTTCTTGTAGAGAGGAAGATTATATTTGCATCGTTTTGGGATTGTTATGAATTTTGCTCCATTTGTTTTATTGCTTTTGTCAATGTTTCTCTTCCCCCTTTTTGGATAGGGAATTTAAATGAGATAGATGAGTACGTTAGGAAGAATGCATAACGAGTATTGCAATTATCTAATGGAGCTTGGTTTTATTACATGCTGTCTAGACTGAGTACTTATTGAATCTTACAAATTTCCTTCTTTCTTTCTTTCTGTGATGCAGCCTTGTGGGATTCTATGAGGAAAATGGTTATAGGTGAGTCTTGAATTTTATTGAAGTGCAGTCCTTTTATTTGATTGAATATGCCTTTTGCTCTGTGATTGTTGCAACCAATAACTATAATTTATTTCTTACCTTTTTTTTTTTCTTTTAATTTCCTAACCAGGTTAAAGTAGTCTAGTACTCTGCTTGTTTCTAGTAAATTACGTGTGGTCTGGCTATTGCAATAGACCATTAATTATTGTAGCCATCATGGGGTCAGCTTGTTGTGTTGCCGCGAGGGAGAGAACCCGTTCCAATGGAACTAGCGGTGAAAATTTACGTAGAAACGTCATGTATTCACCATCATGGAGTTTTCGATGGGATACTCGAGGGCGTGTTGCTGGTGAAATTGAGACTCCTTCCTATCAAGTTTCTAATGGAATCAGCAATGCTAGCATGGAGCTTAAAGGACCGTTGGGTTCTGAAAGAGGTAATTTTTCAGATGTGGGAAGCCCTCTAGAGAATATTGGATCGCCCATCTCCCAAAAGTCTACAGTTAATGGGGGAACAATTACACATCTGATGACATCACCTTCAGGTAAATGAGAAAACGGATAAGATGGTTTTTTTAGTTTTTGATTTTGGAAATCAGGGCACCTATGGATTTATTGATATGGTGAACTTTTCTCTTTTTTTTTCCCAACTTTCATTGATCTTGTATCTTGAAGAGTAGTGTTATTACTATAATAATTTTCCTTGGAATGATTAGTGATTTGACACTTCATTGCTCCTTTTTTATAACTTTTTTTTTTTTGTTTGAACCTTTGTGCTTGTGTTATACTGATATGTAAAAAATGTGATTGGAGCAGATCTATCTGTGGCAAGCAATTATTCGCCTGAGGTAAGTTTGATTCATACGTATCTAGATTTTATGTTTTGTTGTTGTAGTTGAATTCCTCATCATTAGTGTCTTACCTTCTTACTGCTTGTATTTCAGGTAAAGAACTTGGCAGAGTCATCCAGAATTCCTGATTCATCTGCACCGAATCTTCCATTTTCTATACCCTCAGCTTTCTCAATGCCGATTGCAGATCCTTTGGCCACCACTAGTTATCCACTTTTCCCTAGCTCAACCCCTTCAAGACGGGCCCGTCGATCACCAGGACATCAGCTGTTGAGACAGGTCTCTGACAGTCGAATCTTGGGACTGAAATCGCCAAATAACAACTCAGTTTCTGAAGGAAGACCATCCTTTGTACTCTCCACTTGTAGCAATGATTTGGCAACCGGATCCCATGGTGGGTCTTCTGATGGGTGGTCTATGCGCACCTTTTCAGAGCTTGTGGCCTCTTCTCAACGAGAAAGGTGGTCCTTTGACAGCGAACATTTGGGCTCTATCAATGGAAAAATAGGTGAATCTAGTAGCAGATTTTCATGCTCCCCTTCTATAGATATGCAGTATTGCGGAGCTTGCTCTAAGCTATTGACAGAGAGATCTTCATGGAGCAGCCAGAAAATTATATCTGGCCCCGAGCTTTCAGTAGTCGCTGTGTTGGTCTGCGGTCATGTCTATCATGCCGAGTGCTTGGAGACTATGACTCCTGAGACTGACAAGTATGATCCTGCCTGCCCCATTTGTATGGTTGGAGAGAAGCAATTGTCAAAGATGGCGAGAAAAGCTTGGAGGGCGGAAGTGGAGTTGAAGTCAAAAAGTCGCAAGATATCAAAAAATAGAGTTGTAGATAGTTATCTCGACGGTGATTTTGATGTTTTTGATCCCCGAAAGAACACTGACAGAAAAGGAAAATGTCCCAGGATGGAACCCAGTTCCAGCACAAAGAGCTCATTTGCTAAGCCTTTCTTGAAACGACATTTTTCGCTTGGGTCCAAGTGGAGTAGATCATTGTCTGAAAATGATTCGGCCCAGAAGAAGGGGTTCTGGGCCAGATATCGTAAAGATTGAGCACTGTTAACTGGTAAGAGGCCAGCGGTGATCTAATCGTAGATGCTATAGAAAGTATTTCTAGGATTTTGTTCTAGAAATGTAGTCTAGCTTCACTAATAAATATGGTTCCATTTTGGATTTTTAAGGTCTTTTTTAGGTATAATATTGTTTTATATCTTGGATGAAGAAAAAGCCCTTAAAATGTCATAGATAGTTGGAAGGAAACAGAAGAGAAAACGAGGCATGTTTTGTTTTGCCAAATTTAGGAAAGGCACTGCGTGTACGCAGAATTGAGGGTGGAAAAAATGGATGCCCTCAGTTATGGGATCAAAAATTAAGATCACTGCTGCTGACAAGCTTGTTCCACTTAAGAGATCAAATTTTTTCTGCTTCTCTGAATATTGTTCGGCCTATTTCGATGGTTGTAATACATAATTGAAGTTAAGACACTTTCGCTGCATTTGCTGCCTTATTGGCTATTGGCTTTGTCTCTCTATATCCGCTTTATTGCGTATTTGCTTGATTTCTATCAGATTCATGCTTTACGCATCTCATGATATTTCTGGACCGAAAAAATGGTGGTGACCAAGATCCAAGAGCAGCTCTAACATTTCTTTTTGGGTATGCTCGTCATTCGTGCGTCATCAAATCCAATTCAATATTCATTATTGGATCGATGGTGTTGTTATCAAAGTCTCTCCAGTTACTTGCGAGCAATCAAGTACTTATCATGATTCGAGACGAGTTAGCGCATAAAGATTTCTTTTTCTTTAAAAAAAAAAAAAAAGAAAAAGTGGAAGAAGATTGGAGGGGGAAAAGAAGGTTGTGTTTAAGATCTTTAAGGGGGCAGAAATAGGGAACAAAGAAGAAATGTAGGTAGAGGGATTGGGACCTGCCGTCTCAGATTATCTGGTTTCGGTAGTGAGGAAAAACGGAAAGAAAACATTTAGGGGATGTTTGGTTGGAGGATTCAAACCATGATTTGAATAATGGTTTATGGTTCGCTATAGTGTTCTCTCATAAAAAATACACGTAAATCAAAAATGATTCTAATTCATGAATCAAACGTCTTCTTAATGGTTTAAACCACTTTGCTACAATGTCTTTTCTCATATAATCTAAATTGTTGTTCAAACTTTTCTGTTTAGGGTGTGTCTTTTCGGTAGTGAGGAAAAACAGAAAGAAAACATTTCATAGTTCAAACCACTTAAGTCTTTTCTAATATAATTTAAATTGTTATTCAAACTTTTCTGTTTAGGGTGTGTTTACTAATCATGAATTGAAAGAATAGGAAATAAATTCCAAGAAAAAAGAAATTAAGTTCAAGAAATCCATTAAAGTGTTTACTAATCTATTTGGATTACATGGGGAAATAAATTATTATTAAGTTGTTTAATTACATAAAAATTGAAAGGAATAGGAATATAATAAATGTGCTTATAAAAGTACCCCTGTGTTAAGTGAATAACTAATTTAAATAAGGATAAATTTGGTAAATAAGTGAGTTAGTTCTTATTTGTTAGGGGAAGGGAAAAAATTCGTCAGCGAGGAGGTGGGAACTTATTTTCCCATTATCAAGGAACTTATTTTCCCATTTTTAGATGGGGCTCACGTAATCCAACTATTAAATACAAAAATAAACACGATAATCTAAAATTAGGAATTTAATTCTTTTTCTTGAAATTGGATTTTTGGTCACGCCCTAACCTATAAACCAAACAGGCGCTCAACTGTTCAGTAAAAAAGAGGCAAATAAGTTAAATAGCATATTTGATAGGGTATTTAATAAATTATAACATAATTTCACATCTTAAGTTTCTAACATTATAAAAAAAACTCAAAAATGCCACTAAACACTCTCCTTCCCACCTTTCTTTTATTCTCCCCTCTAATTAGGTCCACCAAGACCGGCGGCTGGTGATTGGCGACCAGTATCGACAACATGTAAATACTGTATTTACTCAGAACTTCAATCACCAATAACGGTAAATATTATATTTACCCAGTAATCTGACCGCCCGCGTCGACAATTGGTAAATATAGTATTTAGCCGTAAATATTGTGACAGATTCACGATGACGGCGACGAGAGAAGAAAGAGAGAGAACTGGAGAAGCGACGAAAGAAGAGAGAGAGAGAACAAGAGAAATCGCAGTGGAGAGAGAATGACAACGATGTTGATGAGAGAAAAGAGCGAATTGGAGAAATTACGTCAGATTGGTGATGACGGTGATGATAGAAGAGAGAGAATCAGAGAAATCACGGTCTCAGTTCACGATCTCTGATCTTTTGCAACAGATCAACAACAATAGTGTGACGACAACGACATGTTCTTCAAGAGAGAGAGATATCAGATATGGGGAGAGAGAGATCGTGGAGGAAGAGAGAGAGAGTGATTGGGAGGAGAGAAAAGATCTTATGGAAAGGGAGAGAGACTAAATAAAACCCTATGAAATGGATATATTAAGAAAATAATATATTTTTTTATTAGAATGAGAAATTAAAATGTGATGGGTGCGTTTGGAACTATTTTTTGGTTATTTTTTGAAAACATTTCCATACGTCTTTTGAGGCACAAAAATGAAAACGGTATGCAAACTGCGTTTGTTTAGCAAATGTTTTGAAAACGAAACGAAAACAAAAAATAATGGGCCTGTTTGGTAAAATTTTCAAAATAATTTTATTTTCAATACCAAAGTAAACATGAGATTGTTTTGAGAATCATTCTGCGACCGATTCTGAAATGACGTTTGGTTGATTTTTTAAAAGATGGTTATTAATAAAAAACTGAACTTGTGTTTGGTTATAATTATTAATTAATATATTATAACATTGTTGATAAGTACTAGAAAATGAAAACGGAAAAGGAAAAATAACTTTCAATCGTTTTCTTATTCTTTCACAAAAACCATTCTCACTGTTTTTTATTTTTATTTTTATTTTTAAAACATTTACTAAACAAACACGGTTTGAAGACTGTTTTTATTTTCGTGCATCGAAAGACGTGCAAAAACTTTTTCAAAAACAAGTAAAAATAAACTCCCAACACACCCAATGAAAATTGTTTTTGTGAAGGAAGTTAGAAAATGATTAATTCCCTTTTCCGTTTTCATTTTCTAATACTTACCAAGATGTTACATTAAATTACTTAATTATTAATTACTAACTATATAATATATTAATTAATAATTAATAAATAGATAGGACTATAACTAATAAATAGATAGTAAGTAATTAAATTACTAATTATATAATATTTTAATTAATAATTAATAAATAGACATGACTATAACTAATAAATAGATAGTAATTACTTAATTATTAATTAATATTAAATTATTATTATTAAATTTGTAACTTTCTTAATAAAATGATAAATAATAAATATTAATTAATTATTTAGTTGAAGATTAATTGTCAAAAATTGATTATATAATAGATTAATAGTAAAATAATTAATAATAGGTTATTAAATAAATAATTAAGAATTAATATATCAATCATATATATTAATTATAATCTATTAATTAGTAAATAGTTGATAAATAAAAAAATAGTAATTACTCAATTAATAATCAATATTAAATTATATAATAAATTATAACTTGCTAATCAATAGTAATTAATAATTAGCAATTCATCATTATTTAAATAATAAACATAAAAAATTAGTCATGCAATATATCAAATAATAGATTATTAAATAAACGTTAGTAACTAATTAAATAATTATTTAATTATGTACCTAAAAGTAAATTATTTAAATAGTAAATAGAATATTAATATATTATTTATATACTAATTATTTTTTCTCAATACACTTATTAATTAGTTATAAATTAATAAATATGAGTACGTTACTAACATAGTTATTACTTATAACTGATTATTAATAATAATTATTTTTTAATTATTTAGCATACTAATTTATTATATATATATAGTTTAATTACTAATGTAATCATTAATTATAATATATTTATTATTATTGTATTATTAATATATTAATTTTTATTTACTAAGTGATTATCAATTATTAATTATTTAATATATTAATTTAATATTATTAATTACAGGTACTCGAAACAAAATTTTATAAATATAACCAAATACTATTTTATTTTTTTACTATACTTAAAATAATCTCTTAAAATTCTAACCAAAAGTAATTTTAAAATCGGTCGCAGAATGATTTTTAAAATAATTTTATTTTTATTTTTATATTGAAAATAAAATTATTTTAAAAATATTATTAAATGGGCACAATATAATTTACTAACTTTTAAATAACATGTTATTTATTTTAAAAGCATATCTAAAATATGTTATTTTATATTTTCCCTTAAAGAAAAGGAAGGGAAAAAAATATTTTAGAAAAAAAAAGTATGAAGTGACTTGTCTCACTTTATTTGAAAAAAGTATTAGACGTGACTCTCACGAGGACCGGAACTTGAGTCTGGCACCGTAGACCACTCGGCCATCCTGACTTGTCTGACTTTATTTGAATATTTATATTACTTGACGTGGAGTATGCAATTAGGACCGGTAATCAGAGTAGCGACACGATTTAAAATTCGTACGAAGTTAGTGGTTTTAAATTTATTATAAATGAATTTAGGTCATAATCGAGTTAACACGATTAATACGATTAATAAATGAGTTGGGTTAGAGTTGACCTCCTAACACGAAGTGATACGAATTGACACGATTAATTATATGTGTCATCTGTAATCTAACGATATGTGATATAACATGAAAAATTATTTTATATATTAAATACAAATAATGTGAATTTTAATATTTATAGGTAAAATTTATTTATTTTTCTTAAAGAAAAAGATAAATTAACCAATAAACATGTTAAACTTGTCTTGACCGTATTAAATAAATCATTATTATATTAGTTATTTATTTAATATATTAATTTAAATGGGTTATACAGGTTGACACGATTAACACGATTAATAAATGAATCGTGTTTGAATTAATATTTTTAACACATTTAATACACAGATCGTATTTGAATTAATATTTTCTGACACGATTAATAAATAGGTTGATATGAGTTTCCAAAAAAAATAAAAATAGAGAGTAACTGGCACTGATATTTACTAAATATTAATAATAATATTAAATATTAGTATTATTATTATTTTTTGAAACATGCAATTCGGAGCCAACTACAGACAGGCCAACAGCCCCAAAAGCAAAGACCTCAACAACAGCTAGCAGAGGTCGGAGTCACAAAATACATCTGAGGGGATAGAATCTAGAGGGATTGTCCCGAATCTTAGGAGGCGTTTGATTCATAAATTAAAATTATGTTATTAAAATTATTTTTAATTTACGTGTATTTTTTGTGAGAAAAAATACTGTAACGAACCATAAACTATGATTCAAATCATGATTTGAATTCTCCAACTAAACATCCCCTTAAAAGGCCCATTGATTTGGCAAGGTTATGGGCGATAATACAGAAATAGTTTCAAACGTTTTCAGTTAACGTTCCTGTAATTTTTTTTTTCCAAGCTTGGGGTCGTCTCACCTTTTTCCTTTCTTTGACTTCTCTGCCATTGATTATCAAACCTCGGGCATCGAGTTCACACCGCCGGCCTCCTACACCGTCGAATCTGGCATCGTCTCAAGCCTGTTTCTCAGCCAGAAGGCTAGCCAAAATCTGCATTAACAGGAACCCAAAAATTAAGGCCCCGTTCATTTCGCTGATTCGAGTTTAGAATTTGAGTTTTGCTACAGTAAAAAGCTCTCATATAAAATCACATCTCAACTCGAATCAGTGAAATGAACGGGGCCAAAAATTTTGTGAATGAAAATCACAATGTCTTTGAAAAAAATACTAGATTTATGTTAGGATTTTTATATACCTTGAGCAGAGTAGATTTCCACTATCATTGAACCCAAGAAGCATCCATGCGCATAATAAACATCCGGTTCACAGATTTGAGCTCCCTTGAATTGGCTCCAAAATGTAAGGGTTTCAGTGATGCCAAAGAAGACCAAGATGACTCGTACGTTATACACGACAACGACGACATGGTTTGTAGACTGTCTTTTTTTTTTTCCCCTCCTTAAATAATTGCTGCTTTTAATACTTTTTTTTTTCTTTTTTGATAATTGCTGCTTTTAAAAGTTAGTAATTACTAGCTGATATCCCGCGGCCGCGCATTGCTGCGGAAGATATCATTATATTATATAAAAAGTTTAGAGTTTTTATAGTATAAAATTAATTTACATATATATTCACATATATAGTACTTGTAAATATATACAACTATATTTATTTTTAGATATATACAGTATTTTTGTTTAAATTTTTTTATGATGAATCATTGCTGTTGTTTTGTTTTTTTCTTCTGTTTTTTTTTTTAACTACAAGATACAAATTTTAGAAAATAGAAAATCAGAGAAAAAATGCAGAAAAATGATAATGAAGACAAATGATTAGGAAGAATAAAATCTATCAGATAAAAAAGTGTGGAAATTGACCAAATAAGAAGAACAAAATGGATGTAATGAAAGCATTAGAGATACAGTAAAGATCAGCGTTGTGATCAAAATGATCAAAAAGACTCAACTGCAAAACAAATTTAGAAATAAAAAACTGAGGACAAAAGCTTACAATTATATTGTAGAGCAAGAAAAGAATCAAAGGTCCGGGCATAGGATAGAAAGAAGAAAAAGAGCAAAAAAAATAAAAATAAAAATAAATAAAAGAAAAAGTCATAAATTTAATTTTAGGAAGCAGACTAAATATAGAAATATCAAAAGTCCAAAATAAATAAAAATTGCAGATAAACAAAAATCAAGTAACATAAAAAAAAGGCTAGTGTATGAATGAGTAAATGTTATAGAATAATAAAAGTTAAAACATCAAGGAAGCAATAAAGGTCAACATTTCATTTCCATCAAAATGATCAAGAAGGCTCAACTGCAAAACAAATTGAGAAATAAAAAACTCAGGACAAAAGCTCTGTTCTTTATTTACTTAAGAAAGGAAACGCATACAATGAGGATAAATTTGCAGACTATTGGAGAGATCTGCTAGCTCTCCCACCTCAGCGAACTCTTTCCACTCACTAATTGCCTGACTAAACCTACATCCCTTCCTCCCTTTTATTCCACGCTCACCCAGAGAATAACAGAATTCCGTAACAACTTCTAACAGTCTTCGCAATCCCGAGGCAATCCTTTTCAACCCATTTTCTCCTCGGGAATACCTTCAGCAGTCTATACCCAATTCCCCTCCTGTCCCTGGGCTTTCGTCTGGGCCTTTGGCCTCCTGACATACGTGAATCTAATTGGGGCCTTAACAAAAAAACACTCCAAATTCATTCTGGTAGAAGCCTTATTACAACTCCTACTTATACCTCATGAGATCCAAGCCTTATTGTGCAAATTAAGTTACATGAATGGTTGATTTTTTTTTTATGGAATAATTACAAATAAAATAAACACAAGCCGTTTTGTGAACGTGATGAGAGAGACAGGTTTATACTTAAACCCATTCACAAGAAAGTTGGGTCTTGTCACGTCTGTAAAACGGCGTACGTTTACTTTTCTCACCGATATGACTCTCAGATAGATAAACTTTTTAGTGTTGGTCGGTTGCTAGTTATGCTAAATAACTCTAATTTGAACAACTACTAAATCAAGAGGCAAAGTACCAATAAACAATAATACAGGGCTACTAATCCCTCGTAAAATGGTTTGGGGGATAAGGTGTTAAAAATGATTAAAGATCCTTAGTAACTAATACAAAAATTCACTGAGCAAAGCGAAATGTGAGCCAAAATTGAAGGACATGGGTTCATAATAATAATAAGAATAATAAAAATTTAATAGCCAAACGCTGGTATATATATGAATATCAAAAGCGTAAATTACCAAACAATCTACAAATGTCTTTTTTTTATTATTATTTTCTTGCCATTCTTGCCCTTTCTTTTTGTTCTTCAAATTTCACCTTAAATATCCTTTTTTTTCCACGGTTGGAATTCTGTGAAGAGTAATTGGTCTGCACCATCCCTCGTCTAGTCTCAACTATGTGATAAGAGTCAAGTAATTGAAACATTTATGAGTAGATAAAACGAGGATTATGTTCCACTCAGCAACAAGACAGACAACTCATTATCCCAGAACATTAAAGATTCGAATCTTTTAAGGGTAAAGATTATGTCCCGGACCAACTCTCGTGCTAAACAACGGCCTACGTTTGAAGTTTCCCACCACCCCATGATTCCGATGAAGAAGAATTAGCAAGAAGACACAAACCGTCCATTTCCCAACAACTTGACATTTTACATACAAAAGATGTATATTTGGCTATTGTTTTTTTGTTCGTGAATCCAACAAACTATGATGAAAAGGGTTGTGCATTTGGTCGATAACGCTCTTCAATCCCGTCCTGTAACTTGGGTGGAGAAGCCTTACTCCTAGTTCCTTCTTCATCCGAGCGTTCGAAACTCGCTTCTCAGCAGCAAAACCTTTCTTTTTAACAGTGGCTAAAGATTCTTCCTGCTCAGGAATCCTTGTGATCTGGGCAGGCCACTTCTTCTCAATCAAGTTCTGTGCATATGCAAAGACTTCTTCTCTGGGGGCCGGATCATCATCAACGATATTGTACACTTTCCTAAAAAAACAAAGATACATACGGTGAGTGTCGCAAAAATAGAAAGGATCAAGTGTCAAAACAAGAAAGATAGTATTGAGATTGTAATACATCTTTTCCCTTGCAGTTAACTATATCCCATAAGAATCAGAATGCATCCAAACAATGTGCGTCAAAATTCCTTCCAATCTAATGTTTAGTTTCAGGAAGACAATTACCTCTTCCCTCTCCTTCCAGGAGAAAATAATAATCCACACAAAAGTATGTTTAAACATAGTAGTAACTTGAAACTTACTACAATATACTTTGCAGTCTCTCAACTGAAGTTAACAACCGCAGAAAAAGAATATTGAAATAACTTTAGCAATGTCAGAAAAGCTGAAACCTACCTGGGCGAAGATGTGCAAAAACTGGCCTGGAGGGCTTGACAAAGGTCTTCAACATGAATCCTTGATGTGTATAACCTAAATGTTCTCCTTCTCTGACCTTCTGACAAGGCTTCTCGCTTTATTATTGTATCAACAGCGCTATAATATATACGAGTAAAGACAAACCAACTTTAGCAAATGGAACTCCAAAAGAATGTTTAAATAACTGGTTAGTAAACAAGACACCTTAAGAAAAGTTGTAGCCCACAAGGATAATAGTTTCTAAACTCAAAAGAAGTGAGATTTTTTAGACAAAGGGACAACAATCTTTTGAGGAACTAAAATGAGAAATATCTATCAATCATAAATTGAAAGCTGAAAGCAGCAAATCATGAAGGTACTCAAGTATTCATCACAACCTTCTACCAGGACCATAGATCCCACCAAGCCGAAATATGTGTGCCGCAATCCCAAGATTGCTACCCAGATTTAACCATCTCTCCTCAGCAGCTAACCTCAGTTTGCTCAATTCACTTATAGGACTAGCAGGATAACTGCTACAGCACAATGCATTTGGTGGCAATCAAATGTTAGTTTATCATAAAACATCACAGCTTGTATGAGAAAGCACTTAATTCAGATACACTCACTCCTCGTCTACCCATTCACCACCACAATTTCCATACGCACCTGCCAGAATATAATCAGTTTGTATCTATTCTAATACACTGGCATTAAAAGATAAAAGAAATAAGAAAGCAGTTATTTTCAGTTACAAAAGAGCAGTTATTTTGTTTTATCATTTACCATATTCATGCTTATTAGTTCTTACTACTTATATTTAGTTTCAAAAAAGAAAAAAAATCTTACTACTTAACCACTTGCTTGAATTGTTAATGGTGGCTCTAGATTACAGAGAAGACATACTAGTTGATGACAAATAACAGAGCCACTGAAGATTTCCATCCATAAGCCCATTCTTTAGAAGTTCTTCATGTTGAAGCATCTAGCAAACGTCAAAGAACATTGTGTTATATATAGCTCACTGAAATAAAATTGTTAAATTATAAGGCTATTTTACATACCGGGTCACCAATTCCCACAAAGGGAGGGATAGAAACAAGTAGGTGAGTATGACATTTCAGAACATCTAGAATGCCCCATCTGAACCAATTAATAACAGAAAGCCAAATCGTAATAGAACGGCAAAAAAAAAAAAAACCCGCACAAACAATTAAACTAAATTGACCTTGTACGACATATCTCAAATTCTGCCACAAGTACACTGACAGTTTAACAATTTGCATAAATGGGCAAACTAAACAGTCGTTAAGAGATTAAATATAGGCACAATTCAAAGCATAATTCTGCAAAAACTCACTCAGGCTCGTTTGCATCAAAATGGTAAGCATCAAATCCCTTGTCTTCAAGTTTCTTCTTCTTCACAATGCTCGTGCAAGTCCCAGAGACATCCCTAGTAATCAACCTCCAATAAGACAACTTTCGAGCACTATTTCTTAACGGGAATAAAAGTTTATATAACAAAAACCCAAATAAGCTAAATGAAAAGGTGTGTGGATTTTACCAGCCTTGGGTCTTGAGATGTTCACCAAAGCAGTTTCCGACGAAACCCATGCCCAGAATAAACATCCGGTTCGCAGATTTGGGCTCCCTTGAATCGGCTCCAAAACGCACACGTTTCAGTGATGCCAAAGGAGACCAAGATGGCTCGTATGTTATACACGACAACGACAACATGGATTCTGTGAATGCCAAAGGAGACCCAAGTTCTCACTTCTCAGTCGGTTTTTTTTTTTCGTCGTCGTCGTCGTCGTCAACCGAAAATGTTCACGATATTTTGAAGGAGAATGTGAAGTTGTAGACTCTAATTAATTATCCTAATGATTTATTTTTTTAAGATTATTTTTATAATTGTCTCTTGAATTATGTATATTAAGGTTCGTTTATTTCGTCAATTCGAGTTTAGAATTCGAGTTTTATTACAATAAAAAGCTCTCAGAAACAGTCACATTTAGGGCCCGTTTGTTTGCGTTTTCGTTTTCGTTTTTCACGGTTTTCAAAGCAAAAAAATGAAAACGGGTGTTAAAAACGTGTTTGGTGCAATTTTTTTTAAAAAACAAAACCAAAAACGTTTTTGTCTTTTTGTGGAAATCAGAAAACGAAAAAAAGGTGTTTTCATTTTCTTGTTTTCGTTTTCTATTTTCTGAAAAACGGATTTCACTTTTTTTTTTCTTTTTCATTTTCTTCCCTCTGAAACCGTTTTTGTATTATATATGTTTAATTAATATATTTATTTAATATATTATTATTTAATATATTTAATAATATTATTTATATAATATATTTAATAATATTATTTATTTAATATATTTAATATATTATTTATTTAATATATTTAATAATATTATTTATTTAATATATTATTACATGTTTTCAAAAATTAAACCACCAAACGCAGTTTCAGTTTTTTTTAAAACTGAAATCAATCTCTAAATAAAACTACCAAACGCATTTTTAGAAATAATTCAAAAATGAAACTAAAAACGTTTTCATTTTCATTTTCGTACAGAAAATAAAAACGTTTTGGAACCAATTCCAAACGCACCCTTAACTTTTTTACTACAGTAAAAAACTTTCACATAACGTCACATCTCAACTTGAATTAAAAACTCAAATTAGCGAACTAAACGTCACATCTCAAGCTTTCACAGTTTTTCCCTTTTTGTTGAGAAAAAAAAAGAGAGAGAAAAACTGTTGGAACAAGATGGTGATTATTTCACAAGAGATATAAATCAATTAAAAGTCTCTGTCAGAAAATTGTAATATGCAATGGGAACGCTACAAATAACTAATGGCCCATTTAGAAATTGGGTCCAAATCAGGTAGTTTGATCTAGAATTTAAATTTTATAAAATAAAAAAAAACAATATTATAGCATGATTTTTTAAATTTAATTTTTTTTTTTGAGAAAAAAAATGTTGTTTGAATCAAAACTAGAACAGTTTAAAGTCGCGTACAAAATGAGTCATAAAGGTTCTACAAAAAAAATTAAAGAAATAAAGAAATGCCACCGGAAACAACACTTTTTAATTACAACTAGTAGAATTAATTAATTAGATAATAGCAATGACTGCCAAGATCAGTTATTATTTAATCTTTAAAGGAACAATAATTTTCAAATATCCCAATACATTACACTTTAGCGAGATAAATTATTTGTACTTGCTGGCTGACAATGCCCTTCTACTAACCCGGATTTTTAATATTTCACGAGGCCCATTCTGAGGTAGCAGAATTTATCACAATTTTCTTCTACTTCAAACAACGGGTGACAATGAATAACTTTTGTTGTAACTTTTAAGCAAAAGGAAAAACCCAACTACAAGTAAATGAACAGAGAGTTTAGGCCGTAAATTTGGTTCGTACAATAATTGAAAGTCATTGATAACATATTATTGGTTGGATTTGAACACATGCACGTTTCCTATGTACTCTCAATCTCAAAACGTCTATACAAATAGAACATGATTTTTTTTTTTTTTTTTTTTTGGGGAAAAACAGTTGTGGTGTTGAGACTGGCAATTTTCTTCCACCAAGAATTCAACCGTCTGAATAAATGAGGTTGAACCACAAAACGTCACATAGACATAGGTAGCCATTATTTGGCCGGCCTTACTTCAAACTACATATATTTCCATCTTTTAGTAGTCAGTATAGAGTCCATTCTTTTTCTCTCTCTCAAAAATTTTCAAACTCTTGCACCTGATAACCGCGACTTCTTTTATCATCTTTTGTCTCCAAGTACTACCACTTTCTGAGAATTGATTCTTGAACAAACCTTGGTATGGAAGAGAGCATAAGAAATGTTGTCGTTTCTGGGGTTATTTCATGGTCAACGGCTTTTGTGTTGATCAGAAAAGCTTTCCCAAAGCGTTCCTTTGAGTTCTACAACCGCCTTGTGTCCACAATCCATGCAGTTCTTGCAGTGACACTGGCTTCTCTCTCTGTTGAAGATTGGAGTTGCCCCGTTTGTCCTTTGGCTTCAAATTCTTCCCCTAAGCAGGTAAATCAAATTATGATAACTACTTACAAAGCGTTTACTTTTTTTTCTTTTCTTTTCTTTTTGCCAAGTTTAATTTGTATGACATGTTCTTTTCTTTGACTATGATAATTTTTGACGTTACTTTAATCTTTTTTTTTTTTTTTTTTTGGTTTTAATTTTGGGGGGGAACTTGATTCTTGAATTACCAAGATGAAAGCTTTGGCCGTGAGCCTTTCATATCTCATATATGATCTGATATGTTGTCTCTTTGACAAAAAAGTGAATGTTGACAATTCCGTCCATCATTTAGTTAGCATCGTTGGAATTGGCGCTGGTCTTGCCTATGGAAAGGTAAATTTAATTAATTTATTTTTTTAAATATATTACTGTTGTAATGAATAACAAACAAGTAATACAGCTCCACCGTCCACATGTTCTTGGACTATGGTATTTGTCCTTTGATGCAATTTAGCTTTATTTTCAACTACGTTTTTTAGACTATATAAGACGACTATATAACTCTATGTCTATCCTTTTCCTTCCTCTCTTTCTTTTTTTCTTTTTTTTTTTTTTTAAACTAGTGTAGTGTGGATCAGAAATGGCGGCGGCGCTGTGGATAACAGAGATCTCCAGCCCTTTCCTACACTTGAGAGAACTTTTAAAAGAGCTTGGCTACAGGGATACCGACCTAAATTTAGCAGCTGATGTAAGCAAAGACTCGTAATTGGCATTTTAAATAGAGCACCGTTTTTTCATTAAGTGAATAAATTAGACTCAATTTAATGAGACACACTATTTTATAAGGTTTTATTTGATGAGAATGAATATCATTTTTTTAATTAATTTCATGACATTACGAAAGTACTATGTACTTTTAAACCCCCCATCGTTTATTGACTTACAAATCTACATTAAACTTTCTTAGCTAAAATAATAATAATTTACTAACTAACCATTTCATTAAAAGCTTGTGCGTTCAACTGTCCATGAACATTACATTAAAATTTAATAGCGACCTATAATAAGGCGGGTCTAAACATAACAGCCTGTATATGAAAATACCAAAATGGGAAGTTTTGCTGAGGATTGCTGACATGGCCTTATATTCGGCCGTGTTGTAGACCGGCCTGGGAGCATAGTCTGCTCAGGCCCACTAGGGAGACAATGTACAGAAGCTTCTTTTTTCTTTTTGCTTGAATTTCTTTTTCTTTTTCCTTTTACTTTTTCTTTCTTTATCCTAGTCAGTTCTAACTTCTAACTTTATGTTTGGTAGGAAAGAAAAGTAGAAGAAATGAAGAATGTGAAGAAATTTTAGTAGGGAAAATAAAAATATAAGTTGTTTGGTAAGAGAGAAAAAAGAAAAGAAGAGAAAATGAAGTGGAAAATAATACATGTGAACCCCACTATTTTTTTTCTTTCCACAAGTGGGCAGAAAATGAGATAAAAAATGAGAACAAGTCATTAAAGTGAGCAAAATTACTAAACTACCATTTTCTCCATCAAAATCCAAGTAAAAAATTTAAGGGTATAAAAGTAATTTATGAGTAAGATTTTTTCTTTCCTCCTAATTTAACTTCTAATACTAAACAAGTGAAGGTAAGCTCATTTTCTTTCCATCTTCTCATACCAAATAACATAAAAAAAAATCAATTTTCTTTTCATCATTGCTATTTTTCATCACTTCCATATTTCTTTCTATTATATTTTCTTTCCTTCCTACCAAACATAAGTTCTAGTTCTAACTTTACCCAAAAAAAAAAAAAAAAAGGTTCAAGCTCAAACTAGCTCTAAAGGTTGACAATCGTAGAACTTTATTACGTTTTCCATGTAATATCTGTCTGTTATTGCTCCTATAAGCTGCTTTTGGTTACTGGGTTAAAAGAAAGTGTTTAGATAACTTTTCCCAAGTACTCATAAAAGCTCTTTTAATAAGACTTAGAAAATTATATCAAATTTCAATTAACATTTAAGAAAACTTCATTATAATGAGTGTTATTTTTTGAGTCAATCATAAAGAGTTTATTGTTTATTAGAAGATTCAAATATCAGCTTAAGCTAATTTAAAAATTGCAGTTCCAAACACTAATTAAAATAGTACAACATTTATTCTCTTTTTTTATTGCCTAAAAACAAAAGCAAAAATAATGGCAAACATGCAATTCTTATAAGAGGAAAGCTGGTTGTAGACTTTTAAGTCTGTTTTCTTTCTTTTCCTAAAATAATTGATGCTTCAATAGTTTTTTTTTTTTTTTTTCTTTTTTGATAATTGCTGCAAGTACCCCTTATTCCTTTAACACGCTAGTGCGATCTAATTTTAAAAGTTAACTATGTAATAAATTGTTTCATCAGATATTATTTGCATTGATATTCACGGTAGCGAGGATGATATGTGGACCTTATCTCACTTACGTGACTCTCAAAGCTAGGAATCCTCTCATCATACAGGTACTAAACTCATAGCCATAGACTTGTATTCGTTATTTTAATTGTAAGATATTAATTTGTCAATTATTATAAATTAGATAATTGACTAGAAAAATTATGACAATTAATAAAATTAGATTATTATCATATTACGTTATTAAATTTTTATATTTAATAGTAACCACCGATAAAAACGTAACAATTAAAAACCCGTCATTCCATATATAAATGTATATATATGTATCTAAAATTATATTATACGTTCTTACTTTTTAATACCAACTTATATGAGTTGTCATACTTTTATTATATTAAGTGTCTAAAAACTTATCACCTCAGTTAATGTTAAAAAGAAACTTCCTAAAAGAGAATTGCAATTCATTACCGTGTGAGTTGATATATGCCAAAAAATTTGCATCCCTAGTAGTACTCTACCTCTAAAAAGACATGATTTATGTGTGTTTATGTTGTTCAGGCCATGGCAATGTCATTGCAGTTAGTCAGCGCTTTCTGGTTCTACAAGATTGCGAGGATGGTTAAATACAAACTGACGAAGAGATCCATGCCCAAAAAACTTGCCTGAAAACGCTACATCATCAAACATAATTGTATCTACGAAGAAAAAACATCGTATTGCAACTTTTATTTATGCCTCACGAGATCCAAGTCTTATTGTGCAAATCAAGTTACCTGAATGGTTGATTCTTTTGATAGAACCAATGGAATTGAAATAAAGAATCGATGTGTTATTATGCGAAAATTTTGTGAAATCGAGAGGGCCGTTGCGCGCGTTACTCAGTGGAGCATGTAAAAGGAATAAATTAAAATAAATAAACAGCAAGTGTCCAAAGACTACTTTTTGAGACTAAAACAGACAACTACCAAACGTAAAATGTATTAATATGAGAGGAAATATAGACTTATACAAGATTAATACGTTCTTCTAGACTAGACGGTTTAGCAAACGGTTGACCCACTTGCACCTAAAACCCAACTGTGCGAATAAATGAGGTTTTAAGTGCTAAAGACAAATTCCACTAGCGGATATGGATCATGGGAAACTTGCAAACCAGACTAGATACCTTTTAGTTTTTTCACATCAGAAGAGAAAACGACTCTGAAAAATTATTTAGTGTTGGAGATTTTGAGAGGAGAGGATTAATCATGGAAGACCAAGTACGGAATGTGGTTGTATTGGGGGTTATTTCGTGGTCAACAGCTTTTTTGGTAATTAGAAAAATCTTGTCAAACCGTTCATTTGGATTCTGCAATCGTCTTGTTTCGACGGCGCATGCAACTTTGGCTGTGACTTTAGCTTCCCTTTCTGTTGAAGATTGGAGTTGCCCTGTTTGCCCTGTGGCTTCAAAGTCTTCTCCTAAGCAGGTAAATCGCCAATGACCATACCATTTGATGTCGTTTACGTCAGAAAGGTTTAAAAAGATTATTATAGGCCATAATCCTAAGAATTCCTTTGTATTTTTTTTTTCTTTATTTTTGTTGGCTCGAGAAGATAAGAGCTCTACATATATATAACAATGATAATTTTTTTTTTTTTTTTTTTGGCTGTGG